GGGGGTGGCGGCGGAGGAGCTTGATCTCCTGACCTCGTGATCCGCCCGTCTCAAAGTGCTGGGATTACAGGCGTGAGCCACCATGCCCGGCCTGTTTGTTCCTTTTCATTCTTTTTTCTCTAATCTTGTCTTCACGCTTTATTTCGTTAAGTTGATCTTCAATCTCTGATATCCTTTCTTCTGCTTGATCGATTCAGTTATTTGTACTTGCGTATGCTTCATGAAGTTCTCGTGCTTGTTTTGCAGCTCCATCAAGTCATTTATGTTCTTCTCTAAACTGGTTATTCTAGTTAGCAATTCCTCTAACCTTTTTACAAGATTCTTAGCTTCCTTACATTGAGTTAGAACATGCACCTTTAGTTCAGAGGAGTTTGTTATTACCCACCTTCTGAAGCCTACTTCTGTCAGTTCGTCAAACTCATTCTCCGTCCAGTTTTGTTCCCTTGCTGGTGAGGAGTTGTGATCCTTTGGAGGAGAAGAGACATTCTGGTTTTTAGAATTTTCAGGCTTTTTGTGCTGGTTTTTCCTCATCTTCATGGATTTATCTACCTTTGGTCTTTGATATTGGTGACCTTCAGATGAGGTTTTTGTGTGGATGTCCTTTTTGTTGATGTTGATGCTATTCCTTTCTGTTTGTTAGTTTTCCTTCTAACAGGCCACTCTGCTGCAAGTCTGCTGGAGTTTGCTGGAGGTCCACTCCAGACCCTATTTGCTTGGATATCACCAGTGGAGGCTGCAGAACAGCAAAGATGGCTGCCTTTTCCTTCCTCTGGAAGCTTTGTCCCAGAGGGGCACCCACCAGATGCCAGCTGGAGCTCTCCTGTATGAGGTGTCTGTCGACCCCTGCTAGGCGATGTCTCCCAGCCAGGAGGCATGGGGGTCAGGGACCCACTTGAGGAGGCAGTCTGTCTCTTAGCAGGGCTTGAGTACTGTGCTGGGAGATCTGCTGCTCTCTTCAGAGCCAGCAGGAAGGAACATTTAAGTCTGCTGAAGCTGCACCCACAGCTGTCCCTTCCTCCATGTACTCTGTCCCAGGGAGATGGGAGTTTGATCTGTAAGCCCCTGCCTAGGGCTGCTGCCTTTCTTTCAGATATGCCTGCCCAGAGAGGAGGAATCTAGAGAGGCAGTCTGGCTACAGCAGTTTTCTGGAACTGTGGCGGGCTCAGTCCAGTTCGAACTTCCTGGTGGCTTTGTTTACACTGTGAGGGGAAAACCGCCTACTCAAGCCTCAGCAACGGCGGACACCCCTCTCCCACCAAGCTCGAGCATCCTAGGTCAACTTCAGACTGCTGTGCTAGCAGCATGAATTTCAAGCCAGTGGATCTTAGCTTGCTGGGCTCTGTGGGGGTGGGATCTGGAACTAGACCACTTGGCTCCCTGGCTTTAGCCCCGTTTCCAGGGGAGTGAATGGTTGTGTCTCACTGGCATTCCAGGTGCCACTGGGGTATGAAAAAACTCCTGCAGCTAGCTCGATGTCTACCCAAATGGCTGCCCAGTTTTGTGCTTGAAACCTAGTGCCCTGGTGGTGTAGATTCCTGAGGGAATCTCCTGGTCTGAGGGTTGTGAAGACCATGGGAAAAGCATAGTATCTGGGCCAGAATGCACCCTCAAGGCACAGTCCCTTGTGTCTTCCCTTGGCTAGGGGAGGGAGTTCCCTGACCCCTTGTCTTCCAGGTTAAGGCAACGCCCACCTTGTTTTGGCTCGCCCTCCATGGGCTGCACCCACTGTCTAACCAGCCCCAATGAGATGAGCTGGGTACTTCAGTTGGAAATGCAGAAATACCTGCCTTCTGCATTGATCTCGCTGGGAGCTGCAGACTGGAGCTGTCCGTGTTTGGCCATCTTCCCAGCCCCTCCAGGGTTTTTTTTTCTACTGCATCATCAGGCTGCAAATTTTCTGAACTTTTATACTCTGTTTCTCTTTTAAAATGAAATGTTTTTAACAGCACCCAAGTCACCTTTTGAATGCTTTGCTGCTTAGAAATTTCTTCCGTCAGAGACACTAAATCATCTCTCTCAAGTTCAAAGTTCCACAGATCTCTAGGGCTGGGGCAAAATGCTGCCAGTCTCTTTGCTAAAACATAACAAGAGTCACCTTTGCTCTAGTTCCCAACAAGTTCCTCATCTCCATCTGAGACCACCTCAGCCGGGACCTTGTTGTTCATATCACTATCAGCATTTTTGTGAAAGCCTTTCAACAAGTCTGTAGGAGGTTCCAAACTTTCCCACATTTTCCTGTCTTCTTCTGAGCCCTCCAAACTGTTCCAGCCTCTGCCTGTTACCCATTTCCAAAGTCGCTTCCACATTTGGGGTATCTTTTCAGCAACACCCCACTCCTGGTACCAACTTACTGTATTAATTCGTTTTCATGTTGTGGATAAAGACATATCTGAACCTAGGAAGAAAAAGAGGTTTAATTGAACTTACAGTTCCACTGGGGAAATGATTCTGGGGAAGCCTCAAAATCATGGCGGGAGGCAAAAGGCACTTCTCACATGGTGGTGGCAAGTAAAAATGAGGAAGAAGCAAAAGCAGAACCCCCCAATAAACCCATCAGATCTCATGAGACTTACTATCATGAGAACAGTATGGCGGGAATGGCCCCCATGATTCAGATTATCTCCCACCAGGTCCCTCCCACAACACATGGGAATTGTGGGAGTATAATTCTAGATGAGATTTGTGTGGAGACATAGAGCCAAACTATATCAATAACCCTTTATAATGTGCAAGGCAGTAGTAATAGTCCCATTTGCCTGGTGAAGAGTATGATTAATGTTTAGTACTTCCAAACCCAGTGCGTTGCCTTTCCATTCTGTCACACTAAAGACTTTGTTCGTACATGAAAATCTTTTGAACACACTTAGCAAAAGGCTTTGAGTTAGTTACCCACCCTGCTTCTCTGATAGCCTAATTTGCAATGAAAAAGCAGATACTTCATTATTATTAGTTGGGATCACAGATCTTTGACCAGTTGAGGGTCCTAGTAGGGTGAGCTTTCTTGGATCACCTGGGCCCTTAGAAATCTGATGGTGCTCAGCCGGGTGTGGTGGCTCATGCCTGTAATCCTAGCCGTTTGGGAGGCAGAGGTGGGTGAATCACTTGAGGTCAGGAGTTCGAGACCAGCCTGACCAACATGGTGAAACCCTGTCTCTACTAAAGATAATTAGCTGGGTGTGGAGATGCGTGCCTGTAATCCCAGCTACTCAGGAGGTTGAGGCAGGAGAATTGCTTGAACCCAGGAGGAGGTGGAGGTTGCAGTGAGCCAAGATTGTGCCACTGGACTCCAGCATGGGTGACACAGTGAGACTCTATTTAAAAGAAAAGAAAAGAAATGTGATGGTGTTCAGAACTGGTAAAGGGCTCAGGCCCCAGTGGCTCCTAGGACTGGCTTGGGGTCAGCAGAGAGCATGAGGCTGGAACAGACAGAGGGGCAGCTTCCCAGGGTTATAAACATGCTGCCTGCGGCCCTGTCATTGCCCTGCTTAACCCCTCTCAACCATGGTGGTGGTGGTGATGAGAGTAATGATAATTGGAGCAGTGATAATAACCATTTGCGGCTGATGTGGTGGCTCATGCCTGTATTCCCAGTGCTTTGGGAGGCTGAGGCTGGAGGATCACTTGATTTTGAGACCAGCCTGGCCAACATTGCAAAACTCTGTCTCTACAAAAAAACAAAACAAAACAAAACAAAAAAAACATAGCTAGGTGTGGTGGCACACATCTGTAGTCCCAGCTACTTGGGAGGCTGAGGTGGGAGGATTGCCTGAGCCCAGGAGGTTGAGGCTGCAATCAGCTGTGATCAGACCACTGCACTGCAGCCTGGGTGATGGTGAGACCTCATCTCTAAAAACAATAACCATAATAAATGATAACCATTTGGTTAACAGTACCCATTTGAGAGTTTTTAAGGTGTGGGCATGGTGTTAAGCATGCAACATAGTCACATACTCTTTCTCATGTAATTCTCACGACCCTATGAAAAGTCGTAGTTCTCTTTTCCAGATGAGAAAGCAGACTATAGTAATTTGTTCAAGATCACCCAGTCAGCAAATGGCAGGGTTGGGACTCCAGCGTCTGTGTAGGTAGTCATTTCTCCTCTGTTTTCTCCTTGGCTGCAGGAGACCAGGCACCTGGATGAGATGAAGTCGGCCATGCGGAAAGGCCACAGCCTCCTGAAGAAGAAAGAGGAGAAACTGAATCAGCTGGAGTCCTCTCTTTGGGAAGAGGTGCAGCCCCACGGCCACATAGCCCAGTGGGCCCTGGCCTTCCTCTTCTGTGCTTGGGATTGGGTTGAGTTCTTTGGTCCTGCATTGGGGGAGCTGGACCTCTAGGGCCCAGGATTGGGCAGTAGGCTTGTCTACTGGCTGATGAAGGTGGCAGTGGCTTCAGTTCTGAGTTTGTTGAAGACACCTGTGGGTTTGGATACCTGTGCTGAATGGTCCTGAATACACCTGGACCCTCTTGCTAAAGGTGCCTGAGGAGAGGGCCGAGCCCTTACCCTACCCTGGTCCCTAAGGAGAGGTATGACCAGGGCGTCAGGAATGGACACACAAGGTGCCCGAGAAGAGGGCCGAGCCCTTACCCTACCCTAGTCCCTAAGGAGAGGTATGACCAGGGCGTCAGGAATGGACACACAAGGTGCCCGAGAAGAGGGCCGAGCCCTTACCCTACCCTGGTCCCTAAGAGGTATGACCAGGGCGTCAGGAATGGACACACAAGGTGCCCGAGAAGAGGGCCGAGCCCTTACCCTACCCTGGTCCCTAAGGAGAGGTATGACCAGGGCGTCAGGAATGGACACACACGATAGGTTTTCCTGCCTGCCCTGGGACCTTGTGGACGTTCTCCTGGGTGTCTGAGGTTTAGATATAGCGCGGGGGAGGCTTAGGTGCAGTAACACTGCAGGGAGAGCTTACTGGGAAGGGTGGTGGGGATCTGTGTGGGCCTGATGGCACTGTTGTCTGTGTCTCAGGCATTTGGGACATATGCTGAGCCTTGCTTCCCTCCCACCCTCTGTGAGGCAGCCCTATGTGATTTGCTTTGCCCAGGGTGCCTGGTGGAACTCTGGGCCCCAGAGGAGTCTACTCGCCAAGTCCTCAGTTCCCACACAGCACAAGGGCAACAGCCTACATACTGCCTTGAATTTGTAGCAGCAAAATTGCTAGGAGAACAAATGGAGATGGCCATGTTTGATGGATTTGTGTAAGAAAACCAGCTTAAAGACAAAACATACAGAAGAACCTAGCTCAGTGTCCTAGCCACTTCCTAGAAAGGAAAGAAGAAGGGTAGAAAGCATGTGGGAGAGGTCCGTCATAACTGCTAACTCTACCCTGCAGGCCTCAGATGAGGGCACTCTGGGAGGATCCCCCACCAAGAAGGCGGTAACCTTCGACCTCAGTGACATGGACAGCCTAAGCAGTGAAAGTTCCGAATCTTGTTCCCTGCCTCACTGTGAGTGGTGGTGGCAGCAGAGGAGTGAGTCGGGGAGATGTGGGGTGAGGACCATGGTATCCATGGAATGGGAGGAACTTGGGGAACAGAAGAAGAACCCCCTTCCCTGCAGAGGGAGGCCTCTGTGAGCTGGTGTCTGGACCAGGTGCTCAGTCAATGCTGGGAAGGGATCAGACCATCTAGGTTTGCCAGCACACGGGGCTGAAAGGTCAGGGAAGCCTTCTGAATGCTGCAGAGCACTCTACAGTGTGACCGCTGGCCCTGCTGACCTTTCTCTTCCAGGGCCTCCTTGGGGAGGCTCTTCTCTTTCGGCTGCTCTGGCCTGTATGTGATGGAAGGGCCCTCTCCCCTTCCTTCTCTCTGGGGTCCTGGGCCCGTCACCCAGGGCCTTACCCTGGAAACCTGTTTCCCAGCTTCTCACCGGCACTGTCTGGAACACAGAAGCCCTGCCATCCCTGACCCCCTCATAAGGCTACGGGGCTGTTTGGAGAAGCAGGGAGGGGTGGCCAGTAGGTTGCTGCATGACAGCTGTGTCTGGGAATGGTCCAGGGTCCTGAGCTTGAGTCCCTTCCCACCATCCACCTCTTTTCTTTCAGTTGACTCAACCCCAGGTCTTACCTCCCGCAAGATCCATGGGCTGAGCCACTCCCTCCGGCAAATCAGCAGCCAGCTGAGCAGTGTCCTTAGCATCCTGGACAGCCTCAACCCTCAGTCGCCGCCACCGCTCCTCGCCTCCACGCCAGCCCAGCTCCCTCCCCGGGCCTCCAAAAGCACCCCCACCCCCACCTACTACGGCTCCCTGGCCAGGTTCTCAGCCTTATCATCTGCTACACCCACGTCCACCCAGTGGGCCTGGGATTCAGGGCAGGGGCCCAGGCTCCCCTCCTCTGTGGCTCAAACAGTGGACGACTTCCTGTTGGAGAAGTGGCGCAAGTATTTTCCATGTAAGCCCCACTCTGGGCGGAGCCTTCCCACCTGCCTCCTCCTCCTCTTCCTTCTTTTTCTTCTACCCTCTTTCTCCTGCTCCTTTTTCCCTCTTCCTCCTTTGCATCCCTTTGCCACACCTCTCCTCCCCCAACGTTGCCATAGTCCATTGGTCCATTGACTCTGCCTGTGGGTCCCTGGGGAAGGAGACATTGCAGGTGGCCCTGCAGCCAGGAGTTCTGTGGGTCAGGATGGTTTAGATGGAGCCTGGCTGACTGGGGCCTTTCTTATGGATTTTGGAGCTCAGCAGAACCTAAAAGGTCATTGTTGTCATTATCTTAATAGCTACCATCTTGTGCAATGCATTATGGGCCAAGCAGTTTATATATATATTTTTTCATTTAGTTCTTATTCTCTGAGGTAGTAATTATTTATCCCCATTTTACAGATGAGGAAACTGAGTTTCAGAGAGGTTAAGTAGCATGCTCCAGGGTACCCAGTGAGAGAATAACAAACTCAGCTGTGACCCCGTGTCTCTGTGACTCCAGGGTTCTGCTCGGAACCTCTTGGCTGTGTGGTTAATTCTTGCTTCTGAGCCAGGTGGCCTCCCCGGGTCTCAGCCCTGCTGAGGATTATGAAAAGCCATGAAACACAGGCATTTGAGGGAAAACAAAATATCTTCTTTCTGCCCTAACCCAAATTGAAAAGTAGATTAAGTTTTAAAAATAAAATAAATAGGACCATTCCTGTCTCTCACCTGTCTCTGGCCTCTAGCCACTGAAACGTTTCCTTTTATTGTTTATTCTGGGGAGGCAAGAGGCGCTGGTGAGCAGGGTGGTGACCACTGCCCATTTCTGAGCCCTGTCCCTATGCTCTTCCAGCTGGCATCCCGCTGCTCAGCAACAGCCCCGCCCCGCTGGAGAGCAGGCTGGGATACGTGTCTGCCAGGTGAGCCTCCCTGGGGCCTGGTTGGGGTGGAACGTCATAGCTGCTCCCTGCGCCTCCCTGGGCGGGTAGACCTCTGAGGGGAGCAGGCTTCCTGGTCTCACCCCAAGAAGTCAGGCAGGCCTCTAGTCCACAGAGCTGTCCCCACTTGCCTGGGTCTGAGGCGCCCATCCGCAACCAGAGGGAAGTCAAGTCCACACCGCCAAGGTCCTGGTGGGGAAGGGCTGGGCTTACCCAGCCAACCCCCTGAGGAAGCTGCCTTCTGGCCCCTGTGGGGAGGAGTCAGCCCCTGGTAGGACCCCGCCCCTGCCCCTCCCTCTAGCTCCTCCAGCTCTGGAGTCTGGCCTTTGTCTTTGCCCTTGAGCTCTTGTTTGCTTCCTGTGGCTCCCTTCTTTCCCAAGTCCTGCTGAGCAACATCTGGAGTGAGAGGGACACCCTGTGGAGGAGACAGATGGGCAATTATTTAAACCTGTTATTAATTTTCCATTCATCTTATTCCTTGCCAGATATATCCCCCTCTCCCTCCCTCAGGCCCCTAACAATGGGTACCCCCCACCAACCCTTTGGCCAACTTGAGAGCTGACGCTGGCCAAGGATCGAGTTGACAGAGGGGAGCGCTTTGCTGATGAGATTGGTGGGAGCAGGCAGATGTGGGAGCCCAGAGCCTCATATCAGTAGCACCCAGCAAGGGGGCAGAGGGTGTCCACCGCCTTCCCGTTTGGGAACTGTTCTGAGGGGCCAGATGTTTTGAAGCTTTGAATTGCTAGGGACCGCAGAGAAGCTGCTCTGCTAGCTGAGAGGAAGAGGGAGGAGGTGACAGATGTGATGGCCTCTGCACATCCTCTGGCACTTCCACGCCTCCTCTCTCCCCTCTCCCATGCTCTCCTCTTCCTTGCCAGTGAGCAGCTCCGGCTCCTACAGCACTCCCATTCCCAAGTCCCTGAGGTGGGCAGCACCACCTTTCAGGGCATAATTGAAGCCAACAGGAGGTGGCTGGAACGTGTCAAGAATGACCCCAAGTTGTATCCTTTTACTTGGTTCCCAAACCGGGCTGGGCTGTGGGGCTCAGGCTTGTGCCCTAAAGGGCTGAGGAGGATCCTGTTCAGCCTTTGACCCTTTCATGGCCCTTGCCTGGCTATGCCCAGTGACTGCAGTTTTCCTTCACCTTGTGGCCAGACCTCTCTTCTCTTCAACACCCAAGCCAACAGCCACTTTGAGCCTCCTGCAGCTGGGCCTCGATGAGCACAACAGAGTGAAGGTGTATCGCTTCTGAGGCCCTGAGCAGGGGCTTGGGGCAGCTCAGCCTCTCCTCCACCCAGACCAAGTGCCTGAGGAGCTGCCTGCCTTCTTCCATCTGAGGAAGCACCCTTCTGCCCCCTTTGACTTGCAGGAGCCACCAGGGACCAGGGGGTTGAGTGGAACAGTAAAGCCACACATTCTGTGACTATATAACCTATCTCGGGCTAAAATGTGCGGACTTGTAACGAGCTCCTGTCATTGACATGGCAAGCTGATGGTGTGGCTGTGGGGCATCAGGGACGGGAGCCCTTTGGGAGGAAGGGAGGTGTTAGAGGAGCTGCCTTCGGAGGCTCAGGGAGTCCCTTTGGAGCTGGTTGTTTCCTTGGCCCTGCAGCGCACTGCTCGGGGCTCCCAAGAAGGTTGTGCATATGGTTCTTAGTTCATCGGGACAGAGACCCCCAGCATGTGTGTACCCTGGGACCTGGTTTCTCTGGGACCACATCTATCTCCAATACCTCAGCCTCAGATCAGACCCTTTCTTTTTTGTATTTCTTTTCTTTCTTAATTTTTAAATGCCTTTTTTCTTGAGCATTCTGTTTCTCTTTTTGACTGTCCAGAGCCCTGCCAGAGGGTGCTGGGGGCTGTCCCTCTGCAGGACTGTGTTTTCCTCGGGGGCTGTCTTCAGGAGCACCCCTCCTGCTCCCTGGGGCTCCTCAGGGAGCCATTTCAGCTGGAGTCTCAGGTCTCAACACAACTTCTCTGGGAGGCCAAAAATAGATTGGGATGGCTTCTGGTCCTCATGACGGTTTTTTTCCTCCTAGGACACGTTGGATATATTCATGGGCATTGTTTCCATCTGTCTTTTCTACCTGTGCCACCCCTGCCCTGATTCCAAGGCTGCCTCAGGCAGGCAGGTAGGCAGGCAGGCAAGGGGCTAGGCTGGTGCCCAGCCCTGGCAGCAAGGGGTCTTGTGCAGTTGGAGATGCTGCCGTTTTGGCAGGGCGTCCTGCAGCCCCGCTTCCATCAGCTGGCTCTTGGGTGGGGGCTTTGCAGGGGATGCTCTCTGATGTTTGTTCCGTTGTTTAAATAAAATGCACCTATTTTTGTTTTTTTGCAAGCTGTGGGGTTGCCCTTGCCTCTCTAACACACAAATTAACTCCCTCCGTCCTCCAACTCATTTCTTGGTCATGGAATAAGAAACTAAGATGCAACTGGCTGTTGATCTCCTCAGATGCCTTTTAGGCATCAGCCCACTACATAGAAAACTCCGTTTCATCATGTGGCTCATTCTGCATGCTTTGGGAATAGCTTATGTGGTGCAGCCAACTCTAGTGATAATCCTGGGTGTTTTCTGCATCAGTTAAATCTCTTAAAAGTCCATTTTCTACAAGGCAGTCATGTAAATGTGTCTGCTTCTTTTGGGAGGCCTTTGCCTCCTTCCTGAGAAAGGGAGGGAGGAAAAATGAATATTCATGGAATACTGCCCTATGTAGTATCTGATTTAATCATCACTACAATGTAGATATTGATGTAGATATTTTCTGTTCCGTTTTTATGGATGAGGAAACCAAGGCTCAGAGAACCTTTACATGCCTGGAGTTCCCAGTAAAGTAGCTGAGCTCCCTACTTGTGCAGTGCCCCCACACTCCATCCCTGCACCCCCAGAGCGCTATCTTCCCTACTACCAGTCCTTGGGAGGTGCTGAATTCGCCATCTCTCCCTTTGCCCCTTCACTGCTCTCCCACCTATCAGCTGGAGACCCATGGTGCCATTTCCCAAAGGCTGATTGGTGTTTTCCCCATGGAGGCAAAATGCAAGATGAGTCCCCCAAAGTCCCTAAGCTGGCAAAGTTAGCTGGGTTTTTCTGCTCCAGTGGTGTGAGCAGCCTAAATACAGTCTTGGATTTACAGCAACAGAATTGCTAGGAGAGCAAACCAAGATGGCCACATGATACGGATTTGTATAAGAAAATCAACCTAAGGACAAAACATGCAAAATAACCCAGTTCCGCGTCCTAGCCACTTTCTGGGGGGAAGGAAGAAAGGAAGGAAGGGAGGGAAGGAGAAGCAAGCTAACATTTGTTGAGTGCTTTCTTTGTGCCAGATGCTTTTCATATGTTATTGTTAGTAATCTTAATCTTATGATGTTAGTGTTCTTATTTCATCCATGAGGCATCTTAGGCTCAGAGAGGTGATATCACTATAGCCCAAGGTCATACGCAGTATTTGAACCCAGATCTCTGGAAGTCGAGATCTGTGAACCAGGCTCTGCTGTGTCAGCATCTCCTGTCCTCCTCCTGGCACACAGAACAGTCCTGGCCAGCTTGGTCTGAAGACCTGGGTTGCAGGAAGGGGGTGGCTTCTAGCTGGGGGAAAACCTTCTTGGGTTAGGGTTTACAAAGGGACTTTTTCAGAAGATTCCAAAATTGTCCCATCCCTCCTCTCATGGGTTTTAGCATCTAGCTGGGGAGACTAGAATCACAGATGTTTGGAGCGAAAGGGGCCACTGAGTCCGTTTGGACTGCTGTGACAAAATGCCATCAACCAGGTAGCTTTTTTTTTTTTTTTTTTGAGACGGAGTCTCGCTCTGTCGCCCAGGCTGGAGTGCAGTGGCGTGATCTCGGTTCAGTGCAAGCTCCGCCTCCGGGGTTTACGCCATTCTCCTGCCTCAGCCTCCCGAGTAGCTGGGACTACAGGCGCCCGCCACCTCGCCCGGCTAGTTTTTTGTATTTTTGAGTAGAGACGGGGTTTCACCGTGTTAGCCAGGATGGTCTCGATCTCCTGACCTCGTGATCCACCCGTCTCGGCCTCCCAAAGTGCTGGGATTACAGGCTTGAGCCACCGCGCCCAGCCCAACCAGGTAGCTTTTAAACAACAACAATTTATTTCTCACAGTTCCGGAGGCTGAAAATCCAAGATCAAGGTGTTGAGAAATTTGTTGTCTGGTGAGTGGTTTCTAGTTCCTAGAGGGCAGCTTCTGCGTCCTCGCCTAGTAGAAGTGTAGGACTCTTGGTTCCTTCAGCCCCTTCTGAGGGCACTAATCCCAGTCATGAGGGCTGCGCCTTCACAGCCGAATTGCCTCCCCAAAGGCCCCGCCTCCTCATCGCCACACTGGGGATTGGGTTTCCTCAGGAATTGGGGTCCATAGTGGGGCCTTATGGATCACTTGTTCAGTCCATTCAGGTTTTGCAGTAGAGGAAACTGCCTAGAGAGGCTACATGAGGTGCCCCAAGTTGCAGCCACAGTGGCAGAGGTGGGAATAGAACCAGTGTCCTAACTTCCTGGCCTGGGGCTTCAGAAAAGAGTTTTTTTTTAAAGGATATTCTTAGTAGACTATCTGTTCACATGACTCGATATTCAAATGGTGCAAAAGTCACTCCATGAGTTATCTAGTGCTCCCTCTTTAAGGTAAAATACTACCAGTTCCTTCTGGAGATTTTATGCAAATAAAAAGGAGGGACGCTTAGATTCTCTTCCCTGTTACTGGTGCAGTATGGGTCACTCCTAATATAGGATTGGACGATTGCCCGAAGCTGTCGTGAGTGGTTGATTGACGGTTTTCTTAAGGGAACAACGCTGGAAATGATGACAGACGCCCCCCCACTGACCCCTCCCACCTCCCTGCCCCTCCAGTAAACTCCCACACAAAATAGTAGTATGAGGTGTGGGGAAATAATCTTGGCCTCCGTCCTGGGTTTAGGCTGTCACCTGAACAAGTCCTTTCCGTTCCTGTGTCTTCCCTGGTCACAAGCTCAGCCTGAACCCACACTCTGGGAATGAAGCAGGGTAATGGCCTCTGTGGCCTCATCCAGAGGGCTGCTGGGGGGCCAAGACAGGGCTCCGGTGGGGAGGGGTGCTGAGAGGGGATTGCAGATCCCACTACCAGCTTTTCTGGGGGAGGTGGGGAAGTGATGGTTACAAAATGGAGTTCCTGCTATCAGCCCTGTCCTGATGAATTGGAAAGTCCCCTTCTTTCTCCTTTCTTGCATCTCCTGCCTGCTTCCCCTGCCTGCCCTCCCATGACGTGCCCTCTCCAGCAGGTGTGTCACGCAGCACCCCGAGGGAAGGGCAGTGTAACTTTCTTTTCCGTGATGGACTGCCACAGCCAGAGGAAGACAGGCCTTCCCTTCTTTTCTAGTCTTTTTCGTTTGAAAACAATGCACTCTTACTTTCCCCTTCCAGGAAGCTGGTAGTTCACACGGGCCAGCACACACGTTATCAAACACATAGTTTGTTTCTGGTAAATGAGTCCATTGAAATGGGAGCCTTGGCCGGGCACGGTGGGTCACGCCTGTAATCCCAGCACTTTGGGAGGCCGAGGTGGGTGGATTGAGATCAAGACTATCCTGGTCAACGTGGTGAAACCCCGTCTCTACTAAAAATACAAAAATTAGCTGGACGTGGTGGCACACACCTGTAGTCCCAGCTACTCAGGAGGCTGAGACAGGAGAATCGCTTGAACCTGGGAGGCGGAGGCAGTAGTGAGCCGAGATCGCGCCACTGCACTCCAGCCTGGGCAACAGAGTGAGACTGTGTCTCCAAAAAAAAAAAAAAGAAAGAAATGGGAGCCTTAATTTATTTGAGACATATCACAGCCACCCTGAAAGAAGGAGAGAGGTGCTGGTGCCCTGCTGTGATAAGCACTGCTCACATCACAGTAGGGTTGAGGAGACGGCAGACATTTGTAAATATGAGTCTTTGTAATTTAGAATCTGCCAACATTTTCTATCAGGTGGGAGGCGAGGAAATGACTACAGATGCACGCACACACCCCATAGCGTGCTTAGCTCCGTTGTGGGTTAGAAAGTCCATGTCTTACATGGAGTAGAACCCCAGCTCTTGGTTTTGGGGTCATATTACACTGTCCCCATCAAACTTTTCACCCTGATTGTTGTCAGTGCTTTCAGAAGATGTGGTGGCATTTCTTCTAGAGAGGGTATAGGAGTCTCCTTGCCCAGCAGCCCTCAAAGTCCTGATTCTCCTTCCCCACGGGGCCCCATGAAGGCACACTCCCTGGAGAGTTCAGTAGTTCCTTCTCTCCCTTTCCAGGGTCTCTGAGGCTAGGGTGACTGTTGAGAGGCTCCCAGCTGTGCTCTCTCTGACCCTCAGGCTTGGGTTGGGATCCCAGCCCTCCTTGAAATAGAGCAAAGGGTGATGGGTAGCGCTCCTTGATATAGAGCAAAGGGTGATGGGTAGCGCTCCTTGAAATAGAGCAAAGGGTGATGGGTAGCAGAGTGTCTGTGGAGGTGCTGGTGCCTGAGAGCATAACAATAGAACAGGCTCCTGCACATAACCTTTGGGATGGACCCATGGCCTCAGTTTGGAGGCAAGAGTTAGGACAAGATGGCCCCGAAGGAAGGATCGCCTCCTATCTTCCTTGGTTGGGTCAAGTCAGCTGGTTAGTGTCCTCTCCCTTTTGATTTTTCTTGAAGGAACCATACCACTTTCATCCAAATCCACCTCCATTGTTTCCCCCTGGCCCTGACCTCTGATCAGATAGGGGGACTGGGTCTGGATCATTGGGATGATTGACCTCTGATCAGATAGGGGGACTGGGTCTGGATCATTGGGATGCTTGACCTCTGATCAGATAGGGGGACTGGGTCTGGATCATTGGGATGATTGACCTCTGATCAGATAGGGGGACTGGGTCTGGATCATTGGGATGCTTGACCTCTGATCAGATAGGGGGACTGGGTCTGGATCATTGGGATGATTGATCTGGAGCTGGGAGAGAGCTGCTGTTTCATTAAGTCATCTCAGCCATAGCCCCCACCCTGGAAACCTTACTGTCTCTCCAGCAGCCTTCTAACTCTTCAGGGAGGGGCCTTTGGTCTGTGATGAAGTGGTTTGTGGGTGGGCACTCTGCTGCCCCCATCTCGAGGAAGCATAGCTCCTCTCTCCGCTCTGGCAGGATGGGGTACAGGTAGTACTCTGCTAGTTTAAAAAATTCTAGGATGGGAGAGGTCAGTCTGCCTCATGGCTTTTGCTCTGTGTGGCAGAGCAGAGAGCATTGGAGACATTTCTGATTGCCCCTGCTGAAGAGAGGTAAGAAGCAGAGGAACAGTTTGGTGAGTCTCACTCTCAGGGTTAAAAGCAGGGAGGCTATGAATCGAAC